CATTTTAAAACAAATTGCAGTAGAAGGTTTCACATCCATAAACAAGTTCTAATAGTTCTCTCTGGATTATATTTGTCCTCCATCCTCAACTCTTCCATCTGTCCATCATCACAGACGTTCTTGTCATGGTCCTGGATCTTGGACTGAGGGTTTTTGAGTTTGGGGACTTGTTAAAGTAAACTCTTGACTGATGCTTATATTGTTAACTCCTTGGATTTTCTTTAGTATTTTTCCTTAACAATGAGCCTTTAGTTCCAAGTTCGGTTTCTCTGTGTTCGTTGTTGTGTGACTCTCTATCTGCCTCTGGTTTGGATGTTCTGGACTTTATCCTCACAGGAGCCAGGACCCCTCAGTGCCTTGCTTATGGGTTCTGGCTCCTGTGATTCTTGTCAGAATGATACAACCAGCAATGGACCCAGCGCTCAGTAAGACTTTTGAATGGCAGAGGATGGCTCTCTCCTTTTTAAAGAGGACCGTTGAACTGAAGCCATGGCTCAACCCTGAGCGTGAGCCCATCTTCAGGCAAACTCGCCTGCTCATATGTGGCACGTTGTGGTCCTGGGGTCCCATGGCTCCTGGGCACCACATCCTCAGGTAAGTTTGGAGCCATTCGACTGCTGTAATGCATACTATATCCTCCAAATCATCACCCACTCCTAAGAGGAAGCACAGTCCCTGTAGATGCTGTTAATCACCGCCTCTGCAGTCACGTTTGATGGAGACATCAATGTTCGCCACCCTAGCCAGCTGCACATCAGTTCTCCTTGGCTGACACCTTCATTCCTGTCTTTAGGATGAAGGTCGCAGAGACCCAGCCTGTCTCTCCACCCAGGGATGACTCAGGCCACCAGGGGCCTCACCAGGGACTTGGGGGATACCACCTGCTCCGTTAGAGGTGCTTCTCCCTGAACCTAAGCTAATTACAGGTCAGCTTCCCTGCACTTCACAACCCTGAGCCACCAGATCCTGTTCTTTGTGAACTAGCACTGCCAAATCCAAAGCCCAGGAGCCCCGTGTAGCCTAAACATATTGCTTGGGATGGGCCCCATCTGGACCATCTGCCATCGACTAAGCTTCCCGAGGGGTCCCATGTCCTTCATTATCGGTGACCGCCTGCGAGGCCTCTGTCTCCACTGTTGCCTTTCCCCCTCTTAGGCTACCAGGTAGGCTCTGCCTCCTTGGCCACTGGTCCTCTACCTCCTCCACTATCCCATCTGGTCACCAGAGGCATCTTGCCTTCATCACCTTGTTTTCCAGTTCCATCTCCATTCCTGGGCAGCGTTTCCTGCTCCAGCCCCTTTCTCAGTACCATCTCTCAGCTCTGCCCCGCCCCATTCCCTGCTCTATGGACTCTCCTCCTCATTGGTTTTAATTTTCTATTTGTTTTTTACGTTTTAAAAAAATCCTCTCTGCTCTTCTTTCTAATGCCGTGTTAATTTATCCGCACGTCTATAACTTTCTTCATTTCTCTTTTCAGCATTTTTTAGCAATGGCATCTCACATTTAATATCCCAGTTTAACTACACACACGTCCATCAGCCATTGTAATTTTCTTTTACGTTCACATTCCTTTAATTTCTCTCTGTTCTGTGTTAGCAGAGGTGCACAGACATCTGCCTGAGGTGGTTCAACGCAATCTTGTGATATCAGGCTGCACGGCTGTGAAATACAGACCATCTTTCAGTATGAAACAGTTACACAACGAGCCCACTGAACCAAATGCTGTTAGAAACTTTTGTGTGTACAGATGGGCAAGAAATCAACATTTTTCTGTCAGTTTTTTGTCTACAAACATCTCAGGGCATTAGTATCATGGGATATATCATATAATCTTGTAAGGGAACAGGAACAAAGCACTGGCACCCTGCAGCTTTGATCTGCTTTCTGGAAAAAACAAACCTTAAGTGCATTTTGGGTAAACTTTCAAGAGTTGGATCACTGAGGCAGCTGCTCAGAACAAATGATAGCATATGGTCTCATTACACCTACCGTTTGATACCAGGCTCATCTTCCTGCTGTGTGAAAACATATTTTTGAATTGAAGGAACTCTTCCCAAAGATCCAGAAATAACTAAGACATCCTCCATCCTGAGGTCAGGCCTAACCACTTCCTGCCTGCTCAGGCCTGGATGATGAAGCCTGGTTTTTGGTCTCAGTTTGAAGCCCAGCCCTCCAGCATCATATTGTCCCTACGGCAGAGATGCTGTATGCCATGGGAAACACTCATCCCCTCAGAATGATGCTGGAGGCAGCGGGATGCCGTGTTAGGTAACAACCGTCCCAGACACACACCTGAACCTGTGCAGGTCCTAAGACTAAGGCTGTGCATGATCTCCCTGATTACAGCCTTTATTTAATCCCTCGGTGACACTTTTCATGCCTCTTTCTTATATTCTCTGCTTTCCAGCTTCATTAATTCTTCATAGGACCCCCTCCTCCCTCATCTCTTTATCTCTTCCAATTCTTTTTTAAACCCTCTCTGCCCTCTCTCTCTCACTCCTTCCTCATTTCACAGCTTTTTAAAATCCCTTCAGCGACCCGTCCACCACTCTCTAAATCACCGTCCACTCTCTGCCCCGATCTCCCCGCCCCCCATCCCATCTTGTTATCTTCCATTAGGATTGCTAAGATTTAAATACCATCTGCCTGGATTTAATTTCTCAGCTTGCGTCATGTCTGTCAGACATTTCATTTCTCTGCAGCCAAAACCACTCTGCCGTGAACCGGCACGCGTGCAGCCAAACTCATTTCCTTCGTCTTACACTGTATGCGTGTGTTTAATGGGAAACATTTCTACATTTGTGGCTGAAATATTTTCCCCTGAATTCAGTGTTTTGGTCTCCACTTGTTCTGTGTTTGATTGCACAGCGAGAGCTTGTAACTAATAACCCGACAGCTTGTTTGTCAGAGTTCGCTCCACATCTACATCAACAAGACGTTTTGCTTTTCTCCTGATGTCATCCACACCTTTGAAAATGCAGAGTAATTACAGACACTTCACTGATTCGGCCGCTTGGCTTAAACAAAATCTGAACACAGCACGACATTTAGCCTGCAGTGTTTCTGTTTCCACTACTTTAAACTCTGATCTTCAGTTAAGAAAAGATTTGATCTTGTGGCTGATTAAAGATGATTGTTCTTAAAATCAGCCAAACCCTGTTTTTAATGCCTTTTACAATTGGTTGTTTTTTTGCCTTCAGGTTATTTGACCAATGATTAGTCATAAATGATGTCCTTAATAATGTTCAAACCCACAGAAATCAGACTGACAAACAACAGAAAATACATTTTATGCTGCAGAGTAATAGTTTGAGACCCATCACCACTTCACCTGCATCCTGTGGGGTTTAACAAACTGACCGGGAAGCCTGGCTCCGTGATTGGACATCACTGTTATCCATCATGGATAATGCTATCAGCCTCTATAATACAATACAGCTGTCAGACAGAGAGGCATCTGGCAGATATCTTCCTCGTCTGCAGGGCCTCTACCTCACAACACGAAGCACCTTCAATCAGCTGTTGCTGCGATTTGACGCTGTCTGAATAAAACGGAACGTTTTTATTCTTCATTTCTTTGATGTGTATGAACAGCTGTTTCTGCCATCTGACTATATGCAGTGATAAAGACCCAAAAACAGCACGATCAAATAACATACGTGTCTGCGCCAGTTCTTCCTCGTTGATAATCATCATCATCTCATTTAAAGGCCAAAATATTTGTGGATTACATTTTGCAGGCCTCAACTAAAGAAGGTAAATACACAGATGTTTAAAAATGTAATATATGTTTGATGTTTCCTGACTTCACCCACAGAAACATCTTTTATTCTGTTTAACGTGTCGCTGCCGTCACCTCCCTCGGCTGCTGTAACACAGCTAACAGGTCATGTTACAGTTAAATAAAACAGAGAATTTCAACACAAGGTTACCTTACCTTTCTTTCTGTGTAACCTATTAGCAGTGGTGCTAAAGACGACTCACAGCACAGTGCTTCACACCAACATCAAACTACGTCTTTTGCTGCTGGACTGATTGACTGAACCCAGCAGTGGCAGAAATGACATATTATGTTAATACCCGGACATTCATAAATGAGCTTTAAAAGCTCTTTTTGTAAAATCAAATAGACTCATGTAGGATTGGCCTCCCTCGGGGCGGGGAAATGAAGGCGGGGTGGAATGAATGACCTTCATGGACTCTTCTGTTAAAATATCCAACTTTAAAGCCTGGAACAACAAATAATCCTCCATGGATAGTTACTCCTTTATGATAACTCTGAGAGGTGCCAGGTGCGTCACGTGTGCTAACAAGCCAGCAAATGTTAGCATGTTAGCACGCCGCCTTTCCATCCAAATATGGTCTTCTAACCCCCAAAACATATCAAGGCGGGAAAATGAGTGGGTGGCATCACAGCTGATACGCCCGATGCTGCACAGTCCGGTTTCACAGCAGCAGCTCTGTCCTTTCAGCTGATATCGCTTTAACACAATATAACGATGCCTTTGAGATGACATCATAGCTGAAGGCTTTAAACTCTTTTTACAGTTTAAAAGCACAAGAAACTCACAGGAAAGACTGACCTAAATAAGCCTCTTGTTTTTTTATGTTTGGTGCACAGAGACAGGAGGATGCTGCCATGGCAACGTCTGCCTAACTTAGAACCAACAGTACATCAATAAATGTGAATGTTTCATTTGGTGACGATTAGCAGCAAAGTTTAAATGACAAGATAAGAACTTAAAGTTTGTCAAAGACAAATGGAGCAATCCCCGGTAACCATGTCAGGAAACACGTAACTAACTACTGTGTGTGTGTGTGTGTGTGTGTGTGTGCATATGGGCTTGTACCAGTGTCTGTGAGGTCAGACAGTCCCATTAGACATATCGTATAATAAATGGCTCCCTGCCAGAGAGCAGCCCCAGTGTAGAGGAAGTAAAGGTTACACACTTCAGTCAGAGCTGTGTGTGTGTGTGTGTGTGTGTGTGTCCAGTATCTACCTCCTCCAGTTTGAACGTGATCATGGTGAAGGCCCTGAACACACAGTCTGTCGGCCCTGTGATGGTGATGATCCTCTCTGGACAGGAACCCTCTGAGATGTTGATCCTTGCGCTGCTCTGTAGGTCCAGACAGAGGTGGAGGGGGAAGGGAGGGGGGAGGGAGGGATTGTGGGAAAATGTATTTTTGGGGGTGGGTGTGAGGAGGGGCCAAAAAGAAGGGGAAAGGGGAGGTAAGGAGTGGGAGAAAGGGAATGAGAGGATGATGGGAGGGAGGAGAATTTAGGAAAAACATTGGGAATGAGGGGAGGCAATTGGGCAGCAGAGAGGAGGTGAGTCGTGATGGGGGAGGAGAGGGAGATGGAGGTTAATGGAAAGAGGGTGGGGCAAAACAGAGGAGAGAGAAAACACATTAGTGGGGGGAAGGGACATGTGGGCCAAGACAGAGAAGAGGAGGAGAACCATTTTCGCCACTGCTCCTCGTTCCCTACGGGAGATTCACCTGTGATGCAGGAGAAGAGAGGGATTACAAGAAGGCTGGAAGAGGGAGGACAGGGGGAGGAGCGAGGGAGGGAGGGAGGCAAGCACATGAGAAGACCAGCGTACAGTAAATTGAAGATTTCTAGGAAAGGGTGGGTAGGAGGAGGAGCAGAGGAGGAAATGAAAAGGGGTGAAGGAGAAGAGGGAGAGGGAGATTTAGATGATTTGATGAGGAAGAGGTGGGAGGAAGGTGAGATTCAAGCCCAGGAAATGGAGAGGAGAGAGTGTGGGTAGAGATTTATTAAAGGTAGAAGAGGAAGGGCAGGAGGTGGAAGAGGAGGACAGGAAAGTGAGGGACAGGATCAAAAGGAGAAGAGAGAGACAAGGCGGTGCAAATATTTGAGGAGAAATAAGAAGAGAAGTTGAAGATATAGAGAAGGTGCAGTAATAACCGTACGGGGGTGGATGGCGAGGGCAGGTGTCAGGAGGAAATTGGAGTGTGAGTTGGGGGAGTATAGATAAACAGAGACGATTAGAATCAGAGGCCGGTGCTGGGTTTGTGGGGGAAGAGGAATCAACGCCCTGAAACCAGAGTACATTTTTAATGTTCCTCAGAATTAGAAAACTTCCTCTGTGCTCTTAGCTTAGGTCAATATAAAGATCGACGACATGAAAATCTTCACATCTCCATCGCTTCCACCTCAAACTCTTTTCTTGGCCCAGCTTCAACAGTTCTTTCCCATATCTTCATGCTGCAGCTCTGTAGTTACAGCTCTGTTCTTCATCTGGACCAACTCCTATTCTGTTCTTCATCCTCTTCATAGCTGACCTCACTTCCTCCTCACTAATCCTCTGCACTTCCTGATTCACTAACTGTTCCCCATCCGTCCATCTTTCTCTTCGCCCGTCTCCATCTCCACTCTGCTGCACATCCTTTCCAGCGCGACTTCTCTGCCAATCAGTACAAATCATTTCCTCTGTTCTTTACATGTCACTAAAAGCCTTTTCCCGTGCCACTCTCTTTGCTGTACGCCCAGCCTCCCATTAACTCTTTAGATTGCACCTTCTGCATAAGCTCACCTGTCTGCACCTTGTTTTTGTCAGCCTTTGTTCCTCCCTCTTCTTGAATCACGTGTTATCAACTGTTAGCAGCAGGAATGAATGACAACCGGGAGAATCAGGGATGTGAAACTAAATGTTCAGCAGTCTGTACATACACTGACCTCATTATCCACCATTAGAACAGGATACTGAAAAGGTAAAACACTCAAATATTTTTACATTTGGATTGAATTCTTTAATTTGTGTAAATAATGTTGTTCTTTTCTTCTGAATCAGATTTCCCATCTGATTACCTACACTTTAAATCAACTTACAACAATATGCAGGTCTGGACTGTGTGTGTGTGTGTGTGTGTGTGTGTGTGTGTG